GAACCCCTCTTTTATCTAGCTTTACGTTTGAGCGCTCGGCCAAACGTGAACGTCAGGAGTGTTTGTGAGAATTTGAGAAGCATGAAAATATACCTTTGAACTCTTGATCAAATTATTAGAACATAAACTTTAAGTATCTCATCTTATATAAATCCAAATTTTCTATGATTTCGAATCAGCGAATAGCCTCGACCTAAAAACGTACGTCCTAAGTAGCGCTCGGTCTTATACCGGACACTCGTCCAAATGTATATGTGGTAAGTAGCGCTCGGTCCTATACCGAACGCTCGTTCTTTCCGTAATTTTCAAACGAGCGGTAATGACGTTCGTCCTGAAATTTTAATAGCGTTCGTCCTAAATTTAAATAGCGTTCCTCCAATAGATCTAGTGACGTTCGTCCAAGTCTTCAGTGACGTTCGTCCAAAAATTCACTAAACGCCTACTTTCGCGTTCGGTCGTTGACTGGCGGTTTGTCCCCTGAATTAAATTGTGTTCGGTTTATTTTATCCAAACAAGTTTGTGATGTATCTATCCATTGGATTCTTTCCAGAGTCATTGAACTTAAACTATTCTAAGTATTTTCCCGATCGTACTAGAGTCAGTTCATTTAACTGATTCAAAGAAGTCTTTCTCGGTCTCGCTCTCCACGTTCGTCCTCGTTATGAAGAGGAGTGAACGTTCGTCTTTTTAAGAAAGTGGAACATAGAATGAAAATGTATTTAAGAGGATGAATTAAGATGTGCGAACACTATGAGAACTGAAATTGTGATTGTGGATTTGAACGAGCGTTCCAGGGTGGAACGACTCTTGAATGGATATTGAGATTTGTAAGTATGAACGTGGTAAGCTTAGATGGTGATCCATCCTGATATTCCGTGAGTGCTCGTTCTCAAGTAGAGAGGAGTATGTCATGCGTGGGAATGGCAGGAGGTCTAGTCCATAACTGTAACTTGGACAAAACAGACTAACCTTAGGTGGCTACTGATGAGCATTCCAGTTACCCCACCTGAGTGCACGGACGCCTTAGCTACACAGGATTCATACAGTCCGGACGGTCGGTCTAGTATCAGGATTTTGGATGAAATTTATGTATGAATTGAATGTATATGTTGTGAACTTACTTGCTAGATTTGATATGTATGAAATGTATGTTCTGGCTTGAATTAAATTCAATAAGCTTACCCTGTGTTATTTCCTTGTGTTGTCGTTCGTCCATGAACTTTCGTCTTGTCTATGCAATGATCATCCGTGTGGATGTGAGCAGACGGAGAGGCGTTACTGGAAGAAACACTGGAAGAAGAAAATTTGGAGGACGCCAATCTCGTAGAAGTAAAAGTGAAGGCCGAACAGTAAAGGCGTTCGGTTTTTAGTTAGTATAGTTAGGATACTGAGCGACTGTGAGCGAGCGCTCTTTTTGATTGTGTAAATATTAGGACGTTCGGTATTAGTTTTTGTAAACCGTTCGTCCTCTTTTATTTTGTGAACGCTCGTTGAATTATGTACATGAAAGGCCGTTCGGCCACTTTCGTTATTGTCGCTCCCTTTGCTTTAAAACTGTTTTGAAATATTAATATATGTGATTATTCTAAGTATATAGTTGATGACTGTATAATTTTGGGATGTTACATTATTGGTATCAGAGCAGTTTTGTTCTCTTAAAGGACACTGTAGGTTATGAGTGCACTGTGTTTTTGCTGTGTGCTTAATATGTGTTTAAATGAGTTATTTCTCTCAACTCTTTGCACGTTACTAACGTTCGTTTTCCTCTGTGTCCAGAGAACGAATGGCACCTAGACTCCCTCCTCCACCCCAACCTACGGAACCTGATGCGTCCAACAACGCTAGGTTGTTGGAGACGGTGATTGACCGCTTACAGCAACAAAACACGACACTGATGGAACAAAATGCCACTCTGATGCAGCAGAATCAGAGTGCCATGCAGAGTTTGGAAGCTTCGCGTGCCAATTCTGAAACAACGCAAATACAACTGATGGAGATTTTAGCAACGACCAGGCATAATTCAAGGGCGTCTTCTTCCAACGCTGCCCCGCCTACTGCTGAGTGGAGCTTGGAGAGTTTCCTCCAACACCATCCGGCTAAGTTCAGTTGGAAAGGTCTCCCAGACGAAGCGGATCAGTGGTTAAGGGACATGGAGAAGATCTTCAATGCCAAACGATGCCCTGATGAAAATAGATTGGTGTACGCTGAATATTTATTGACTGGAGAAGCGAGCCATTGGTGGTCGAGCGCGAGAGCTATTCTAACATACGCGCAACAACCGATCACTTGGGAAGTGTTTAGAAATAAGTTTTATGAAGAATACTTCCCTGACAGCGTGCGGTTTGCAAAGGAGGTGGAATTTCTACAACTGGTTCAGGGGAGTATGTCCGTCTCAGAGTACACCAATAAGTTCAAACACCTCGTCAGATTCAATACTATGGCCACAAGTGAAGTGTGGCAGTGTAGAAAATTTGAGAACGGATTGAGGAGCGATCTCAAAGTATTAATCTCCAGCCTGTTTATCCGGACGTTCCCAGCCATGGTTGAGAGGGCTAAAGTATTAGAGAAAAATATGGTTGAGACGGAACAACAGAAGAAACAACAGGCGTCAAGAGGACCAATTCTGTCGAGACCTAATGTGAATCTGAACAGGACCCCATACGCTCGTCCAGCTCAGTCTAGTGGTTCTCAAGCTATGGTAGTTGCTGGACAAGCAAATCAACCGGGGCCGGTCAGATGTTTTCAGTGCGGAGGACCCCACTTTAGATCATCATGCCCTTAGTTGGTTAGAGGGAAATATTGCACTCGATGTAAAAGAAACGGTCATCTGGAGAACGAGTGTAATATGGGTGGACGTGCAGTGATGAGACCGCCGAACGCTGGAAGGACTCAACAAGGAAGAGGTGGTCGAGCCCAAGCTGTTGGGCGTGTATATGCAATCACGGGTGCAGAAGCAGCGAGTTCAGGTACACTTATCACCAGCACGTGCTTGTTATATGGAATGTATTGTTGTGTATTGTTTGATTCGGGGGCGACACACTCCTTCATCTCGAAGGCGTGCGTTGATAAGCTGGGTATTGTATTCAGCCATCCATCCCAGAATCATTCTAAGTCCTAGTTTGAGAGGCAAACATATCAAGTTTACCTTGTATCTACGCCCCTCTACTTCAACAGAACATCTAACGCACATGGTAGACGTCCTAACCTCTCCAGCTGCTGGGGTTGACACCACTAAGTCGAACTGCATCTCACTCTCGGTTAACCCCAA